CCGCGGGCCCGGCCCCACCTGCCCGGGGATGCGGCGCCCGGGGCTGCCCGCGGGGGAGCGGGGGCGGCGGCGGCTTTCGTGGCGTGTGCTCCTTATGTGAGCAAGCCCATTAAATTCCTACTCGATAATTGCTTTTTAAGAAATCATTCCATGTTTTTTTTTGTTTTTTTTTTTTTTTTTAATGCAGCTTGCTTCAGGGGAAATTGGTTTCTCTTCTTCTGCAAAGGTGCAGAGCTAAAGAGCACACCAAAGCAGCTTTTCTGTGAGACCAAGATATTTAGCAAAAGAGCATGTACTGGAGGGCATTTCTACTCTTCCCCATCCCTTTAAGATGTGTAGTTGTCGTTCACCTTGGGCAAAGGACAGCACTTCTATAGAAGGATACTTGGATACAAGGGCTTCATCCCTTTTCCAGTTCAGGATGGCACAGCTTGCACGAGTATTGCATGAAGTGCCTTATGACTATTCTAGGTTTATTAGACTCATTTCAGTGACATGACCTAGCAGTGATGTGGCTGAACCTACATTTCAAACTGTTTTATGCCTTTTTCTGTCGTGCTTGAGTGGAGAATGGAGTAAGAAAAAAAACTTGGTCAGTAGAGGTTTATACTTATGTCTATACTTTCTGCTTTCTCATTGCCTTATTGTAAGAACTTAAAATACAGTATGGTTTCTCATGCAGTATGTTACCTACTGCATTTCTGGTTCTGATCACAGTGCTCTAGGAAAAAGTTCATTTAGACTAGAAAAATGTTCAGCCAATGATGAACATACAGCTCACTGATTTTTTTTTTTTTTTCTGCTAGTACTGAAAATATTTAAATTGCTGATTTAGCAGCAGCAGAAACATTATTATTTCACTTTGAACTAGTATTGCTAGAACTCTTACTGTAGTTCAGTAGCCACAAAGACAGTTTTTTGCCTGGCTGAAGTGGCCCCAAAGGCCCTTCCTGCTGGCAGCAGCATGTGAGGCAGGTACTGTTGCTGACAGCCGTGTTCATTGGGGTCAGTGGAAAGACTGCTATGATTTCATTGAGGGCTGAAATGGAGAAAGTGAATCTAATCTGGGATGCTTCTGAGGCATTGTAGTGCACTGTCATCATTCAGCTGAATGTGAATGCGTTTTTAAATTTCTTCTGTAGTTATACTGGATTTTGTGAAGACTTAATACTGATTAAGAAACAAGTACTCTACGGGCAGAAAACCAGCACAGAGTCAGATCCACAGTTCTTTTAACACCCACGATGCTTTTCCACTGGGCTGTGAATTGGTTCTTACAAAATAAGAATGAAAAGTAATGTAGGTGATCACTAAATTGCCACGTTATGGTCCAGTATAAGTTTTACCGATTTTTTTTATACTATATTGGCTTTTAGAATAAAAGCAACACTGCTCTGAAAACAACTGTGAAAACAGGTGGACATTAATTAGGGTCTTTTAGGCTGAAAAGGGGCTCACGTATCGAAAGGATCACATGTCAACGTGTGAAACTTGCGGCATGCCTACAGAAAAATTGTAATGGGGACCCTGATAAGTTGTGCCTGGAGTGATAAAAAACTGCCACGCTCCGTGCTAACTCCCAGCATATGTCGTTATTTAATGAATACCATCTTACTGAATATGTTTTCCTTTTTGTAACCAAAAAGGATACTGAAATTCCAGTTTTGGACCCAGACTTCACATTCTGGCAGTGCTTGGATCCATTTGTTGTGACATGTTCGTTGCTATTTTTAACTTATGTAATAAGAATTTAATCTTATTTGTTACAAACTCCATCATACTGAAGGCACTCAGAAGGCATTACAGTACGTAATAAATAATGCTGGTCAGTAGCTTACCAGCACTGTATTTTTTTCCCTCTGGAATGCTACAAGTTATGTTAAAATTCACCTTCTTCGTTGTATGAAAACGGAATAAAAATAAAGCCAGGAAACTACAGAAGAAACTCTAAAGATGGCGTTTTAATAGTGATGCTGGAAAAAAATGGAAGTGTTTTGTGATGAAAGGCTACTTAAAAATTTAAAATAAAATATAAAACATTTTTTTTTTTAAAAGTAATATTTAAATGTCAAGCAGAAATGAAAGTCCGTATCCTATCTGCTTCCCACATGCATTCAAAAGCAAGATATGAACCGCTAAAAACGAACGGAAAAAAGTCACGGAGTTAACTATAGCATATTTACTCCTGTTCTGCAACTGTTTTTACTTCACAGCAGCTCTGTGACTTACTGATTTGTGGAAGGGATGGGGTTTGGTAGAAATGTGCAGCCTTCTTTTCTAACTTGCCTGTTGGTTTGAAGTTGCTGAGCAAGGAAGAAGTCAGGCAACTGAGTGAATGCGATTTCCACGTTCAGTGCAAGTACATACAGCTGAGTGTGCACTATAGCACAGGTAATAGTCTGTCTGATTGTGCAAGTAAGTGGAATCCATTGGCACAGCTCTACATACGTTTCTTAGGAGTTTTTGTGGACATACTGAGGAGTTCCTGGTGCGAAAACTAGCATGGCTCCAGAAGTGGAGTGGATACCCGTGGTTCTTGGTGTACTGCATACTAGTTTAAATTATGCATTCTCCTTTGTTCTGCTTTCGCCCTAAGCTCTGAAAAAAAGCCCAGTCTCCCTCATATCTGCATTCCTGTAGCTGTAACTTTGTCACCTGTCTCCCTTCCCAGCCGAGATGCCCCGACAGTTTCCAAAGCTGAACATCTCGGAGGTTGACGAGCACGTGCGACTTCTGGCGGAGAAGGTCTTTGCTAAAGTTCTGAGGGAAGAAGACAGCAAAGATGCACTGTCACTCTTCACTGTGCCTGAGGACTGCCCTATTGGGCAGAAGGAGGCCAAGGAAAGGGAACTGCAGAAGGAACTGGCAGAACAGCAGTCCCTGGAAACAGCTAAAAGGTTTGTTCAGTAGTTGCTTTCTTAGTGGAAAATTACCTTTTAAATAAGGTTGAGTTAATATTGAAATACCTGGTAAATAACATTCTGCCTCTAATTACTTCAGGAGACAGGTGGACAGCAGGTACCTGGGGCAGCTGTGTGATGTCCCTCTGTCCTAGGGAGAAGGTGTGGGGCTGGGCCCTAGGGAGCTTGGATTGGTGAGCTTCTCTCAGCTGTTTCCAGCAATAGCACAGATATTGCTTATGCAAGTTTTACCAAACAGCACAGCTGGGTAGACATGAACACAACCCTAAGACTCTTTAATGTAAGTCAGAAAAAGAAACACTCCCCTCACCTTATTCTAGTTTCATTAAGAGAAATGGAAAATTTTAACACACAGAAAATGACAGTGGCATGGTATTTCTTTTTGTCTCTGTAAAAATAGATGAAAGCCAAGACATTACATTTAAGATCAAGGGAGAAGGTGCAAAGTGGTATTGGCATAATGAGGTTATTCATAGGTTTCCTTTACTCACAGAGAGAAAATCTAGCCACTGCCAGCCATAAAAGTGCACATTAAAACAAAATAAATTGCATTCTACCTCTGGTTTATCCAGGACTCTAATGAAGCCAAACTTGCTTTGGTTTATGATTTTTCTCCTGTGAGAGAGGCAGCCTTCCCCTGATGTCAGGCTGTTCCCCTTCAGAGGACTGCTGGGCTGTTCCTGGAGCCACGTGAGCCCAGCAGCAGCCTGACACCAAATGGGGTGGACGTGTACAGACTCTTCAAAAAGCAGGCAAACAAGAAAGCCTTTGAAAGTGATACTAAACACATGTACCTGGTTAGCTGCATGCAGTCGGTTGGGCAACACTGGGAATCATATTTCTGGAACAGAAGGGAGAAGAGTCAATTTAGTTAAATTAAGGTATGACTCACTGATGATACAGGCTGAGGCTTCTGGTTTTTGAATTGTGCAAGTGGGTTTCCCAGTTGGCATGTTCATAGACATAAACAGGCACAGAAGGGAAAAGCAGATGTTTTCATTCAAGCAAATGTTTGGTACATCTTTCCTCCCGAACCAATAAGTTTCATTTTGATTTGGGGAATTGTCTCGTGGAAATATGTTCTCTCAAACAAACTCAAGTTTTGTACAAGTTTAGCTGTGGGAAGCAGGATATTATATGTATATTGTTTACATGTGGGAACAGAACAAGTATTCATCCCTGTCCTGCAGGACTGATGCACACTCAAGGACAGTGACACCAGTACAACTTGTGTTGTTTTAAGCTGCAGCTCATCAACGTTACCAAGAATTTCATACTCATTTCCAAGGGGGCTACAAGTACTGAAGAACATGGAATTTGGTTATAGGATGTTAATTGTACCAGCACTGCATGTTCTTGTTCTTAAGAAGTAATATGTGACTTTCAGAGAGTATGCCAGTGTTCCTTTTTCTCTGTTAGTGCTTATTACTGATATTTTAAGGTTTTAGTATCTAATTTATAAAATTAGGGACTATTTTCTGCTATGTATGTTTATTATATGAATATTTAAAATACATTTAAATACATTTAACCAGAGTAAGGAAAATGAATTAAATCTTCAGAGATATTCCAAAACTCCACTTAAGGCATTACAATTACTTCACTGAAAAAAACACAGCATTCTTTTTCAGCTGGTTTATCTGAGGTGCACATCTATCACAGTTTTGCTGAGAAAGGACAACATTTTTAAATTCATGTGAGTTCCTCCTGAGGGGAGGAAAAGACTGACACATCAAAGCCATACTATGTTATCACTCTGATAAACAACATCAGCCTTTTGCTCCAATCTCATCAAACACTGCCTAAGGAATAACTAGGTGCTCCTTGTTTTTCTTACAAGTTTAACTCAATAACTATTTGTGACATTTTGATGCATAGTCTTGTCTGACAGCTAGATGAGATTTAAGTCTTGCTGTATTGGGAAGAATGAGAAGAGTGTGTAGCAGCATGATAACTTAAGAGATTTACCATAGGTAACATTCACTCGTTTCTGTCTCGTACTTCACAAATTCTGATGCTGCCAGTCTCTAAGAATTGACTCTTACTAAAGTGAGGACAGTAATCACGTTTTCCTTCTGTACAGTGACTTGCTGAAACTGAATTTGTAAGAAGTGAAACAAAAACCTTAGAGCATCTTAGGGTGGTTGTAAATAAATTATGGCATATTGGATTCACGTGGAGGGTAAGTGCAATTGTGTGTAGTGTATATCGTGGGAAATGTCAATAGGAAAAAGCTAAAAGCACAAATACTTTGTGACCGACATTTTTTCTGTGGTATGAGAAATTTATTTTGTAAAATTTTCTAGGGAGTGACTTCTTTGCTGGGGTCAGTTTCCCACTGTATTTAGTGTTTTATACCATGGCTTCTTTTATGTCTTATACCGTGAATTCCTAGGAAGAAAAGTTTCAAGATGATTCGATCCCAGTCTTTGTCATTACAAATTCCATCTCAGGAATGGAAAGCACCACCCGCCAATCCTGTCCTGTCTCCAGCAACACCAGTTCTTCCAAGTGCTTTTGTGCCAGTCCAAGTGCCATATGATGTACCAGAATTCCAGAGAGTTTCAATTAGTGGGGACTACTGTGCAGGGGTAAGAAACCATTGGTTTTTCCCTTTCTGTATCTGGAGGGGGGGAAAAAAGAAATCCCATATAGGTAAATGAAGTGTAAAGTGCAAATATATGATGGTTTTCTGCAACAAACTCTAAATTGCTTTGTGGATGCAGTGATTTTTAAAATGGTTAAAGTGAAGGTCAGATTGTTTTATACTCTTTATAATAATATATTGGGTAAAAACATAATCAGATACTCAACAAATGGGTAATGTATGCTAGGAAGAAAAAAATTGTGTGTGTTGTTTTGCCTATGGTGTTTAAGTTCTGCTTCTATCACTGGCTTCCTGACACCTGGGGCAAGATCCTTATGGTCATACACTAATACTTCTGGGAATTCAGTCTCCTTGTCGCTGGCGTGGACTTGGTTTGTTGCTAACGGGGCTGTTTTATTTTTGTCAGTATTTATCCAGGTTTTCCTTTCAGGTGACAGTTGATGACTATGAACAAGCTGCCAAGAGCCTGGTGAAAGCTCTTCTCATTCGAGAGAAGTATTCCCGCCTTGCCTACCATCGCTTCCCGAGGACAACGTCTCAGTACCTGTGCAGCATGCGGGATGAAAAATGGAAGGTTGAAGATGAAGTGTGTCCAGGTCAGTGTCCTTTTTAAAATACTGAATTATATTCTAAAAATTTCAAAATTATTTTAAAGTACAGAATTAAAGCCGTGCACTCCTGTAGTAAAGGGAAGTTGGATTTTTGTGGTGATCTCTTCGGAGTGTCTTTGCCTCTGTGATTTGTTCTGTTAGTGAGTGGAGAATCACTGACAGACCTGAGTTATAAATCCTGGGTCTAATCTGAAACTTTGAAGCTGTCAAAACTTAAAAACCCATTCTAGACTCTCATTGATTATCTTCTTGCAGCAAATGGGATGTTAAGTAGTACACTTGTGTTCCCCCAGGAGAAAGCTACGTGGATACGGTTTAAAGGGAAAAGTCATTCTTCCTCATCTTGGCACACAGAACTAAGGCATAAAAGGGATGATGAGCTTATCTACATCGTAAATGGAAGCATGATACAGACATGCCAGTTAGCAAGCCCTGAGTCAGGAATTTCGCAGGCAGGGTACTGTTGCCAGGTCAAGGCTGGAAGCTGTGTAGTCATATTTGTTGGGCATTCTGCCTGGGTAAATAAACTCTGATCTCTCAACAAGGCTTATTAGGTTGAACATATTCCCCCACTGTATGTCACAAACTATATTTGTCACTTAGGTGGGTTGTGTTGTGAAAGCTTTGCTTGTGTGTTCAGCTGTTTGCACTGCTCGGTTTTGGATTAGCCTGTGAGGAGCCACCTTTGGTCTGTACAGATGTGCCACTGCAGATGTGTCCATTTTGCTGGCAGTTTATTCTCAGCCACGAAGTGACATTTTGAATCAATTACCTTCTGGCTCAGTGGTTGAAAGAGGGTGAATGAATGTTTTCAAGCAGTTTTTATCCAGTAAGAGTGTAAAGAGGACAGTATGCTGAATATTCAAGACAGGAGTATTTTGGAACAGCTGCCAGGGAGATATTTCCAAGCTATTATTACGATAACAACTCTTTTAAAGTTATGATTTCAAACTTACAATGCAAATCTCATTACACAATATCTTAATTAGCACAAGTTTGAGCTAGATAGTTACGAATATTAGAGATAAGAATGGCATCAGTTTATAACATACGTTCAGGTGCTCTGGGTCAATAAAAGGACTGGTTAATTACTTTTCTGTCTTGGCTTAACTGAGCAGGTAAAACTGATAAGACTGAGCCAAAGAATGTAGTTCAGTTGACATAAATGTAGTCAAGAAGCCTATTTTGTGCTAGTTGCAGTAGTAAGATATTGTAAAAGAAGCGATGTGTGTTCACTAAGCATGAGTGATAACATTTGAGTTCACATGAGCTGAATCTCCTAGACAGAAGTATGTGTGTTTACTTGATTCTTAGGAAAAGAAAATTGTCCTTTTGTGAAGGCATTACAAAACTGTGCTGAACAAATCCCAGCCATGCTTCTGGTACTTTCTGATTCTGGTCAAGGGAAAAACTAGAGTTGTGTTGTACTGTCTTTGGCTTCTATGCTTCTTGCTTCTATTTGAAAGCAATTGAAAAAAAAAAAAGGTTTTATTAAAAAAAACTTTAAACAAGACCATCACCACAAAAAAACCTAGCTGACCAACCAACCAAAAAAAAGCCCCACCCAAAACACCCCAAAATCAAACGCAAACAAACTCCCACAAACTGAAAAACTCCAATCAAAACACAACAGAACCAACTGATTAAACAGGCCCCTCCAAAACCTGCCAACTGGCCACTCCTTTGATGAGAGGGAGAAGTCCCCAGTGTTTCAGTTATTTTGTTCTCAGCCATGAGTGAGGTGCATTCACTGATGGTCGAGAGGAAGTGGTGAGGGCAGTTGAGAGGGCAGAGGTGAAGCAGTAAGGCACAGCTGATTCTTTCCTGACTGCTGTTCTCACTGTGAGAACAGCTGCATTACTGTGTGGTTAAATACAAACTTCCAAAATTGCTACAGTGAGTCAGAAGCTGAAAAGAAAATAATGAAGGTGGGTATGAAGTCAACAACTATTTTATTGTTCAAAAATCTCAACTGTACTTTTCAACTATCCTAGTTTAAACACTTCTGCAAACTCGCTTTGAAAATTGTTCCATCATACGTTATAAAGAATAGCACTAAATCTGTGTATGCATGGGTTCAGAAGAGAACTCTTATAACATATGACATTTGAATTAAGATAGGCACTTAATTTAGAAAGGGACTGCCGTTCAAACCTGTCAGAATCAAGCTGTGTTGTAACAGCAGATCTTTTATAGTAACTGAAAATGTGATTTTAATGGAAGTATGAAGATCTGCTGGAAATGAAGCACTATAGAAGCAGAAAGTTCTTTTTGTAATTGTTTTGCCTTTTTTGTAGGTTATTTCTTCTAAACATGATGTAAATTTATTTGCAGATTTCCATTCACCCCCAGAAGAAAATGAAGATCCTTACAATCTTGATGATGCTCCAGATAACTTGGATTATGTTATCAAGCTGAAAGGTGGAATTCCCTTTGTTTATGATAACAAGGAAATGATGGAGCTCAATGAGCCTCGGAGTTTGCCGTATCCTGACCTGGAGACCTACACCCTTGACTTGAGCCACGTTCTTGCTCTGATTGCAGATGGTCCAACGTATGTGTCTCTTGTGTTATTCTCTGCCCTTTCAGGCTGCTGGTTACCTTTAGTTTAGTACTTTTCTCTTTTGGGATATTTAATTCTTCAACATACTCAGTAATGTTTTGTTTTGCCTTTCTTGAGCATTAATGCATCATGGAAGAACTTAAAAGGAGGAAATACGATGCCACATATGGTTATATTTAATTTCTTTGGTGTCTTTGCATCAACCAAGGCAAAACAAGAAGCAGTTAACAGCAAGAAATAGGTCAAATGTTTGGATTCAAGTCAAATCTGACCCAAACTTCCTGAAGCATGGGAACTGAAACTTCCAGTTTCTTCCAGATGTGAAATAACTGCTCATATGCTGCAAAACTGCCTCATGCCTGCACAATCAAAATAGGTCCTGAAATATCCCAGAACCATCAAATTCCTGGGAAGTCTCTAAAAAAGTCTCTTGGAAATATACCAGTCTAGTACAGTCACTACAGACACACTCATGACAAAGCAGTGTCCTTGCCCAGTGCGTAATGAAAGCATGTGCATCCAGTTTTTAAACTTACTTCCCAGCTGGGGCTTGGAAACAGCATGGCCTCAGCACCAGGAAAGGAAAAGAATCCATTTTAGGGTGGAACTAATCAGGAACCCAGACTGTTCTGAGCTGTTTGCCCTCTCTGCCAGCACTGCATTCCAAGTCCTTCAGCCTTGGAGAGATCACCACTGGCAATGTGAACAGTTGGTCACACCTGATGCATTCTTTCCCCCTTGAGTCTGTGTCTGACACCTGTGTCCGTCTGTCTGCCTTGTGCTTTGATAGTGGCAGAGCACGTGGGCTAAACAGATCTGTCCCATTCTTTAGGCCCTTTTTCAAGAGCAAAACCCTGTGCTTCTGCCAGCATTATCAGCACTCCTGCTCCAAATCTGTGCTAGCTTGACTAGGCTTTGGATACAGTATGCAATGGATAAATGCATTTCCAGTTCCAGTGCGTTATATTCCAGGGGACAGATAATGAGACAATAAAAGGACAAGGAGAAAAAACTCGAAACAAAAGTCGTGCTGAAGACCCTTCTTTTTGTAGCTTTAAGTTAGCAGTCTTCTAAGGTTTAAGTTAACTGTTAACAGTCTTAACAGGAAGGCATAAGTAAGAAGGGCCTTGGTAGGACAAGTTAGAACACTCAGCACCTTTGGCAATGTAGGAGCCATCATCTGCTCCTTTCACTTCTTCACAGTAAGCTTTTGCAGGCTGATTCCCACTCTCTGATAAATATGCAGAAACCAAAAGAAAAAGGTCTTTCCAGTAATCCTGTTTCATAAGCTCTTCTTATGGTATTGTTTCCCTGTTTGCAGCAAGTGCTCTCCTCTCACTTACGCCCATTACACATGGGGCTGCTCGGAGATCAAGAACCACTGTTCTTTAATCTTTGCTGCTGGTAAATTGATGAAATCTCACCCCTACTCCTCAGGCTTCTGGTCTCTTGGATAATAATATAACCCAACAAAGATTTCCTGCAGTGGGCAAACAGGGCTTGATCAGTGTGGGATAAAGTGAGACCGTGCTTGAATCGGACTTGCAAAACTGTAATGGGATTTGTGTCCCATTGAGGAGAGACTGGCAACAATAAAGCAGGAAAAAGAAGGCTATTACATTAATAGTGCTACCAAAATATTGTAGAGTCAATATGAATTGACAGATGGTGAAGAGAAAAACCGTGTCATTGGTTAAAAATAGAATGAGAAACATGACAGAAGATGAAAGTGAAGGCAGAGCTCTGAGTAGGCAAGCAGGAACAAAACAGCATGATTTTCTAAAAAGGGCACAAGAAATTATTGGGGGAAAAAAAGGTATTTCCACACAATATATGTGTTCTTAAGGTGTAAAAAATGAAAGTATATCTCATTTTATCTTGACTTCTCATATTCAATTGAAAAAGCAAATAAATTTTGAGGATTTTACTGTGAAAACTTCAATGTTCTTTCTCGACTTAATACAAGTAGTTTTAAGTTACAGTTAATTTTTGTGTTTTCTTTTGCAGAAAAACATATTGTCACCGGAGGCTTAACTTTTTAGAGTCTAAATTTAGTTTACATGAGATGTTAAATGAAATGTCGGAATTTAAAGAACTAAAGAGTAATCCCCATCGAGACTTTTATAACGTGAGAAAGGTAAGTGTGAAAAGGATTAAAGGCATGACATTGTTTTTAGTAGGAGTTGCAGCAATTTTGCCTTTCTTATGGGAGGTGTAGATGATATGCATGAAGTGGTGTGTGCATACCACTCAATCAAATTAAGTTATTTTAAGGATATTAACATTTTTCTACATGGGAACACTCCAGGAAAATTAACTTGAATGTAAATGGGTTAAATGGATTATGCTAAACTAATTTGTTTACTTATTCAGAATCAAAGGGGCTTAATTGTATGTAGATTGCTTTAAAGCAGTGAAACAGAGTTAATCAAATGAAGCTCACTTGGATTATGTATAAAAATATCCACATGGAGGTTTAATTAATTTTAATGAACTCACTTAAAGACAGTCAAGTGCATTTTTCTGCTTTCATGTAGGTAAATCCTACTAGACTGTAGTAGGAACAGCTGTATAGATTTTAGATAATTATTGCACTTCATATTGAATATAGATATTTAAATACATGTCAAAAGGCCTCCCACAGAAACTGAACTGAGGGTTCATGCTGCCACCAGGATCTGGTACAGAAAGTCTGTGAAATATTAAACAAAAAGATTGTTATTTGAGTCATAGTCTTGGCTGCCTCTGAGATACACTGGGATGTAATTAGGAGACAGGTAGGGAATCAAGGAGCTGATTTAATTTCCTGTCATATTCACACCCATGGGAGCTGTGTTCTCTTCAAAGCGTGGAAGCAACAGTGTTATGCTGCTTCATTTGCTTCCCTCTCCTGAAGTGAAGAGGAAGTTACTGGAGCAATAATGCTTTGGTTTGATAGGTGAGATTTCTTCACAAAGCAGTAATTGTTCCTGGTGTTTTTAACCACTTCAGGTCCATTTTGCATTGTTTCTATATACAAGTGGAAATGGCAGTCCTTATTTTGTAACTTCAGGGTTTACTAATGCTTGTTGTTAGGTTTTGGTTAGTACTAGTACATGGAAAAAGTCCTCTTGGCTTTTCCCTGTAGTGTTCAGTGTGCTTGCTGCCTACTGAATGCTTGTTACTGTTGTGATAACAAACTGTCAAAGACAAAATCTGCTAAACAAAAGTGCCTGGTGGCTGTTCCAGTGGCCATCACAAGGGTAGAAGCAGATGAGCTGTCAGGTAGATTCTAATGCATTGCACACTTCCATCTGTTAAGTGTAGGGATGGGAGGATCTGTCAGCTAATTCACTCAAGCAGGGCTCAAGTGGCAGAGACTCAGCTCCTAAATTGACATAATCCTGGACAAGATACTTCCCTGTGCCATATTCAGATAAAACACTTCACTAGCTGACAAGAATTTAATAATAAAACACATGGTGACTGACACACACAGAGGACAGAGGTGTGGGTCGGGTAACTCCCACAATCAATTCAATTGCTTAGAAGTTGTAATTAACAGGATTGTACTGGCTAAGTTCAGCTTTTGTTTTCAAAGCAATTGTCCAGTGTCTCTGGGCGTATCTTAATTACTTTTTAATTATATACTGTTAAATAAGTCCATCTACAAATGGATTCGTGCTGTTCAAAAGCACAAAATGTGCATTGCTTCCCCTCTGGCAACACCCACATTCAAGAGAGCAGGAACAAGCTTACTGTCCTCTGCCAGAGATCATTCCTACTGCCAGTTACTGCTTTAAAAATTCTTGCTGCACAGAGTTAATCTTGCTCAAAGTATTTTTATGAAGCAAGCTTATGAGTAGTATTTTTCTGAAGCACTCAGGAAAGACAGAGTTCCTGTAAGCCTCCAAATAATCTTTTTTCCGTATCTCTTGCTAACCCAAGGTAATGTTTGAAACTGTAACTTCCCTGTTCCTCCCTAATAACAGTATCAGTAGTGAAACTTTTGAAAGCAACACTTCTTGGCCTATGTTTTCAAGTTGTCTCTCTGTTAGTCAATCCTAGACAGTGTATACTGCTCACAAGGAAAGCAAGAAATAAGCTTCACCTTCCAAAAGGGTTGGTGAAGTTGTCTATCACACCCCTCAGACACTAGTGTGGAGATCCTGGTAAAATCTTGTCTGCTTGTATAAAAGAGCCAAAGTAACTGGTGGAAAATATCAAAATTAGAACAGTTGTGAATGCAGTGGCAAGGTCTGTCAGTGAATGTGTATTACTGCATTTAGAAAGGTACAGTAGAAAGCTGTAGGATTAATTGCTGACATGACAACCAAAGTAATGGAAAAAAAAATGGTTTTTTTCCCCTGCCCCCTCCGCCTCCTTTTTTTTTTTCCTGATTTAATAGATTTAATAGGAATTCTCCTCCAGCGAGTTCACCTATTTCATAAATCCCATGTATGTGTATATCTTATGTATTGAACTTAACCAGAGTGCAACCAAAGATATGTTTTGATCAAGATGGACCTGGAAAATTGCACTTTAATAAAGATGCACATATTTCTCTAGACAGACAAGAATCCACAGGTGGTAAGACAGTGTGGCTGGCTCCACTTGGCTCCCCACAGGAGGTGGACAACTGTCTATGTAGGACAGTGCTGACTTCAGAGAAGACCCTCGAGTGTGCCACCAGCAGGGCTCTCCCACGTCCTCCAGCTGATGCACAGCAAAGTGCAGTCAACACACATTCTCCACATAACTCCTGGTTTGCCTGCACTAGGGATGAAATTAAGGAATAAGAGTTTAGCTCTACGGCAGACAAACTCAGAACTGGGTTTTAAGCTTTGTGTACCAGAGTGTCTTGCTCTCCAAAGCAAGTAGGTGACGTTTTTTCTTTGAGCAGGGCTTCCAAACAGCCTCAGATAATTCAGAGCAGACAGTTAATTTTTTTAGCTGAAATATACCTTCAAATAAAGGACCTACACCTGAATATTATTTCAGTTTTATTAGAATATTGCTAATTGCAGGAGGTTTCCTTCACTGCAAATATTTGATATAATTTTCTAAAGATGAAACAATTACAGCCTAAGCCTCTTCCGATGTTCTTTCTCTGTGTAGCCATTATTTCAGTGTGTCAGCAAACCAGACCTGAGGGGATATGTCCTAGCAGTGACCTTTGCATGTCACATTCTCCTGCCCGTAGGCTCCCTCAGGTGCCCAGCCTTGTGTGGCAGCAGAGCTTTGGCTTGGGCTGGGGAACTGGGTGTGGAAGAGGGCAGCTGCTGGAGTGTCTCACCCGGCCCTGCTGAGGGCTGTATTGCAATAGCTGGCTGCTGCTGTGACTCACTGTTTGCATTTAGGCTCTTGCAACTGATTTTTTTAAATAACTATTGGTTGGACAAGAAGGAAGTAAATTCTAGGTGGTTTTTATGACCACAGAGTTGAAATACCACTTGTTACTTGTAAGAAAGGAAGTTCGAGTGGGTTTATATAATACTAAATTCTACAGATCTCACTAAATACTGAATTAAATTAACAGATGTCTGCTTTTTAAATATATGATTACAAGCCTCATGAATGAACATTGAATCTATACCTTAACTTCCCTGAACTTTGATTAATTCTGTTAGCTTTTTTTTCTTTTTTTAAATTTCTTTTTTCCTCAGTACCTACTTACTGACTTTGGTGCTGGAATTCAGTTTCATCATATCAACCAAAATGATAGTGAATGGGAAGACTTATGGGTTAGCATGAGATCCAAAGGGAGTGCCCCTGTGCACCTTTGTTAGCATGACATGTGGTGGTGCCTTGCTACTGTTAACTGGCAGCAGAGCTGTATGTTGTGCTTTCAAAGCACTGGGAGTGCTACTTCTGCCCTCCTGTCTTGAATAGATGCTGAGGTAAATCCCTGTGTCCACCCTCAGTCTTACAAGTGAGCACAAACTACGATCAGGTGTAAAGGCATCAATCGTTATAATGCAGAATTTCTGTAGAGACCCTCAAGAAAGCTTTTCCTCTATCCCTTCTTTTAGTAATCAAAGTAACAGAAAAAGAGATTTGTTTCTCTTCACAGCAGTGTATTTTTGTACTTATGTGAATACAAACACTCTGGGGGTTGATTCCGTGTTTTGCAAGCACAGCCAAACAAGAAGCTGGAGGCACAGGGATTCTCGTCTTGTCTCTCCTGGTTTCTGGGTTGCTCTGGATGCCATAATTATGAATTAGGCAAGCTAACAAGCTCTAGGGACTATTTCTGCTACCAGGAGCATTCCTGCTCTACCCTAGGGCAGAGTATTTTGTGCTTCTGTCATGCCTGTTACAGAACTGCAAGGAGAGAATCGAGCGTGTTGTTGCCATCTTATCTGCAGAGCTAAGGCAGTATGGATGTATTGGTGAGCAGGGAATCTAGCAGTGGGATGTGGAATGATTTCCTTTCAATCCAGCACTGAAGTAAAGCCTGCAGAGGATTCAGTGCCAAGTTCATGCAGCCCAGAGCTCCTGGGCTGGAATTATTTCCAAGTTCAAGTGTATGTGTTTAGCAAACACGGTAGCATGCAGCTGTGGGTATGACTGACCTACACACTGGGCGAGTTCAGTGGCATTACACTGGGGCGGCCTTGGCATTCCTTTCTGCTGTACTTGCCACTTCTCAGTGTGAATCTAGCTCATGTGCCTAATTCAGGGCAACACTGTCTGATATGCACAGATAAGCATCCACAAATAGATATGAGATGGATGTTTTGTGGAGATCTGAGAGACAGTGGAAGGAATGTGGGAAGATAAGGGAGGAGGCAGAGTGGTTTATGGAAGTTGGTGCTGGTGAGACATGATTTGGAGGGCAATGGGAACTCTTTCAAGCTGTAAGTCGTACACAGATGTAGCCACCTTGACTGAGAAGTGTGTGCATTTGAGCCCAAAGCCTGCAGACTTTATGGGCAGGTCAATAAGGAAAGGAAGGTGGCCCCTTCTCAGTCTGAACTGAAAGGCGCAGGGGAAGAAAGGTTGTCTTCATTACATGGAGAACTGCTGAGTGAAGGGAATTCTACCATCCTTTAATTGCAAGAAAACTCATGTCCACCACTGCTTGAATGATGGAATTAAAAGAATTAAACCTTTTTGTTAACAATGGTTTTCATTTTTTAAACCAATGAGTTCACTGAAGACATAATGTTGCATTCCAAGACAGGCTTCTGTTGGTCATTCTGTTTTTCCTTTCGTTGAAGATTAATGTGACCTTGAGTGAAAGGTTTTGTCCTGGGGGGATGGGAGAATAAGAAATGCAATAGGAAATCTGGCTAAGGGCATGCAGCCCTGTTTTTTTCCATTAAGGAGAAACTGGGCTGGAGTGGCACTGTAGCAAATTTGAAAATGCAAGCAGAATGTTTGCAAATAGAAGCAAGTAGGCCTTGTGGCAGGGGCTTGTTACTCCTGGCCCAGAAAAGCTTCAGCTTACTTCATGTAGTGTATGAAGAACAAAATAGTAACAGCTTAAAATGGGACTGATTTTGTCTTTTCTAGGGAGAGGGAAGAGGCAAAGGGGGGATTTGTCACTATATGAACTCAATATGTTGAAATTCTTTTAGTAGAAGCCTTTCAAAATAAATAACAATGAAATTAGTAACATTTCAAACAACAACAACAATAATGACAATATCCCTCACCAAATCAGCCCAACTATTCTATGTCTGAGGATTCTGTGTTCAGATACTTCATTTAGCTAGGATTTCACCCTGAATGGTGAAAATACACAAGAGCATAAACAGTAACTTATGATGTGCTTGAGTAGCTCAAAGCTCGAGTCATTGAAACCTTCCAAAAAGTTGCATTGCTCCTAAAAAACAATGAAGTCAAAAAGCTTTGTGATACTTTTATGACTTTTGACTTGAGTCTTACGACTCTTTGTTACTGAAGTTGCTGCTTACTTAAAGGTCAAAATATACTGGGTAATAAAAAAAGGTAGCTAAAGTACTGCATATTCTCTGGGAAAAAAAGCATGAAGGAGATTCGGAAAGGTCTCCTAACTTTTGGGATATATACATGTTTAGGGAGAAGGAGGAGTTAAAAAAACAACAAAGGAAGATCTTGGTTCTCAGAATAAACCTGGTTAGCCGAGCTGGAGGGCTGCATGTGATGTGTTTGTGGTGAGTGGAGAAGGTGCCACAGGAGCTCACTGACTGGCAGAGGCACAGAGAATGATTTCTCAAGGGGAAGCAGGATTTTAAAAGCAGTGCAGTGCACTCGCTGTCATGTGATCCTTGCATACAGGCAAACAAAAGAAACAAAACCCGTCCTTGCTTTCCCTCCTTCCTCTCCTGACAGCAGCGAATTCATGTGGATTTAAATAAAGAGGAAGTGTTGTGTTGTGTTTTGTTCTGGCTTTTTTTCAAGACTCATTAATTCCAGTGGCTGAGCCACTGCTGAGCCCAGGGCATTCTGAAATTAAATAAACTACACTTACAGGTTCCCTACACCTGTATTCTGTGCTTGTGACTTGCTTTTCCTGAATGTTTAGAGCTTATGGGGCATCTCTTAACTGTTATTTCAGTCTCCCATACAAACTGACCAAGTCTAACAGTATTTCACTGATACAGGAATAGTTTATAGTAAACAAAAAGCTAAAGCAGAAAATGTTTATTAACCTGAATAAACACATGTATAAAATGCACTTGGGCTCAAATATCTATACAAGTACTCTGAGGAGTGTGATATGTTAAGCATAGCTTTTTTTTTTACTGTTTTAGACACAGTATTATTTATTGTGCTTTAGTAACATACTTTATGTTCTGTACTTTGAGGTAGCAAGATGTTTCTTGCTTGTTCATTTAGCTTTAATGTGTCTGGTATATTTGAATTAGGCAGTGATAAACAATTAAGTGATTAGGATTAAGTTTATATTCTGGTCTTTAGTTAGAATATGCACTTCCCTTAGTGTGTGAGGAAATCTAAGAAAAGAGAAGAGATCTGAAAAATAAATCAGCATTATGAGTTGCTGTATTATAATAAAACTTGGAAAAAATAGTGACAAAAATCTCTCATGCGTATGTTCTCTGGTTCTGGTGACCTAAGATACTTCATATGGCTGAAATACAAAAATGAACTGTGCTTTTGGAAATGGCTGAGAACTCCAGGTCCTTTCAGTCAGAAAGGATAGTTATAATTGCAGTCTATAATTAGAAAGACTTTGTTGATTCATAAATGAAAAAAAAGGATACTAAAGGATCAGGGTGTCTGTTAAGGAAGTATCCAGTTTAATCTGAACCCAGGGTCTTAGAATGTATCTCGTTGAAAATTTTCTTATTTAAATAGGAAACTATTAATTAAGGGCTACTTTACTTATAGTGCTGCTTATTGAATAATTCCCCCCAAATCAAAATCTCAGGGTTCTGAAACATTTTGATTTGCTTAGGCAAGAATCCATTTATTACTTAAGGAATATTTTAGAAGGCTTTAGTCGCTGTTGTCAGTGACATGGATACTTTGCTAACCGAAGTTTATGGATGATAAGCATGAACAACCTTTTTGATTTCAGGTTGATACTCATATCCACGCTGCTGCTTGCATGAACCAGAAGCACTTACTGAGGTTTATTAAGCACACCTATCAAACGGAGCCCGACAGGATTGTTGCAGAGAAAAAAGGCAGGAAGATGACTTTAAAGCAAGTCTTTGAAAGCCTTCACATGGACCCCTATGACCTCACTGTGGACTCTTTAGATGTCCATGCAGTAAGTCTAGTAAAATGACAAAATAAATGAGAAAAAGAGACATTTTCCAAGTGTGAAACTCTAGTTTCTACAGTTTTTGCGTGATAAGTTATTAAATCAGAATTTGACTACATAGCGTGTCTGAAGGAAGTTTGCATAGGCTTTTTCTTTTTGTGCCTTTTATTGCTAGGCAATTTAATTTATAAACTATTGTGTGTTCTTAAAACCATGGTTACTTGGGTTTTTTCCTCCTCCAGGGTCGTCAAACATTTCATCGATTTGACAAATTCAATTCCAAGTACAATCCAGTTGGTGCCAGTGAGCTGAGGGACTTGTATTTGAAAACTGAGAACTACATTGGTGGTGAATATTTCGCTCGTATGGTCAAGGTAAATAAGTTTCAAGCTTTTCCAGCTGTAGAGAAATGAAGGTTTGGAATAGATTTGTGCTGGCATTTGTGTCTAGAGGTAACACTGTGGTTAAGTGATTCCAAGTACCGATCTCGCTCCAGCAATTCCTCAGAGAAAGACCTCTCTGCTAAGTCAGCCCCTGCTGCTTTCTGAATAATTTGATGAGTTGGAACATGCACATAAGCTGTGTATGAGCTCAAAGCAGAGCTGTGGGCAGTTTCAAACTAATGGAGAGTGGCCGAGGGTCAAATCACTGGCTTAATATTTTGTTAGGATGTAGTTGGTTAGTGGTAGCTGCTGGGGAAGGAGGAGCTAGGGAAGTGCCTCTGCAGAAATCTCTATCTGCACATGCCTGCAACAGGCTTCAAATTAATTTCTCAGAACAAGAAAATCAGTAGTTTTCGTGATGTAGTGTCACCTCTTCTTAAATGTACAGAAGTACTTGTCTAAAATGAATTTCCTTAAAATTGCTTACTACCATGGATTCTGGGTCAGATCCTCAATTGGTCTGCATATTTTATGTAGACATTTACTGCAGTTTAAACAGTGTAACTCTGATTTACCAACTTTAAACATAGGCCTGACAAGGGTGTTAGTAATAACTGCACAAGAATATTGTCCTCTAAATCTAGGTGTTAGTTATACTCAGTTATATATACAGTTATACTCAAATGACATGAGATAGCTTGATGGTAGATTATTAAGATGCCTAAAATAAAATAATAGGTTAGTAGACATGAGATTCCCTTTATTTTTAAAGGGTGTCAATACAGTTATGTCTGGTCTGAGGAAAATACCGTGATAAATCTATTACTAGCTGTAAATGATCTTCAGTATCCATATTAAAGCAAATATATTTATTACTTACTAGGAAGTAGCCCGTGAACTAGAAGAAAGTAAGTACCAGTATACAGAACCCCGCTTATCCATTTATGGACGGTCTCCAGATGAATGGCTGAACTTGGCAAAATGGTTCATTAAGCATAAAGTTTATTCCCCTAATATGCGCTGGATAATTCAGGTTCCCAGAATCTAGTAAGTAATCAGGAGCTCTTGGTAATTTTCATAGTTTGAAATCATACCAATGACTTTATTTCTGATAATATTTAGATGGCTCATTAGCCGTCCTGTAGTTCTATTTGTAAGCAATAGCTTGGGGAATTTATTTTTGGCCGTTGGTGCAGTTTTCCTGACAGTCTGGGGGTGGAATAGAGGAGATGGGGTTTGAATCTACTCTTTATGAAGCTACTCGAAACTACTGTAAATTATTTGTAAGTCTGAAGACACTGAAACCAAAAATTACAACTGTGTGAAATCAAGCTGCATTCAAAGCCAAGTTAAAATATAGTTTACTAATGAGATAAATCAACTCCATAAATCGATTCCATGAAGGAGTAGAAAATGCTCTGTAAAATTGTTACCGTCAAGATCAGTGACTAAATGACAGCGAACTTGGAAACACAACCCAGACTGATGATTTGCAAGCTTAAATCAGTATCAGTTTTTCTTAGTTTTTAAGCATCCTTTGGGATTTCATTGTTTCCAATACACAGTATTGTAATACAGTCTCCCCTGATAATCTTGTCAGCCTTAATAGCTGAGCTTCATGTTTGGAAATGGCATGGTTGGAATATGAGTGGAGACAGAGCTGTCACAGTCACATATATCCCCCAGAGTGACTTTCTTGCATATGCAGTGCAGTTGGCACTTGGAGTCCAGGTCATGCCCTTAAGGGCTCACAGAAGTACTGTCCCTCTTTTCTGAGGGGCTCACTACAGCAGAACATTCTGCTTTCATTTGGAGTAGTTACAGCCCCAGAAAACAGCAGCTTTCACGGGAGGTAATTCCTTATCTCCCATTAGTATTTGGGTTGCTGTAAGGGAAAGGGTCACCGAGACAGCAGGTTGTTGTTAGACACCATCTACCCCTGCATACTGCCTCTATTTTTGGAGCACTCGAGAGCTTCAGCAGAGCCTGGATGAAGCAGAGTGCCAGGCAGTGCAGGAAAAAGAGCACAAAGACAATCCCTGCCCTGACATAAACTTTGAGTTTCTGAGTCCTGGTGGAACTGAAGCTGTAGAATATACACAAATAACAGAAAATATGAAAGTGGAGGAAAATGCAAGCTAATTAAAAAATACGTCTATTTTTTTCCCCTTCAGTGACATATTTAGGTCTAAAAATATTCTGCCTAGTTTTGGGAAGATGTTGGAGAACATCTTTTTACCTTTGTTTGAAGCAACAATCAATCCCAAAGACCACAAAGAATTGCACCTATTCCTTAAATATGTAAGTATGTTTGGGTTTCCTGTCTTATATGAAATGGGTCTTCTTCTACTCATAATTCTTTTTTCATCCACAGCTGTTCCCAAACACTAAAAAAGTTTCCTTCTCCATGGATTGCTTGTTATATTAGATTATTTTATTGCTTGTAATTTAATAGAAGTCTGAGTGAGGTCCTGTTGTGAAATAGTTGCTGTTTGTTTCCTCTGAAACAGCTCAACAGCTATTTATTTGTTCTTTCAGCCATGACCAAAAATGTTTGCATGCTCTCCTGCATCTCAGTCCAGGATGTGTACTTGGAGCTTTCCTCTGGGACTGGCCTCCAAAAGGGAGGCAGCTGAAAGGAAGCATTGTGTAGATCCTGGTGGAAGTCAGGAGGGAGGTGGGGATGTTGCTGCTGGGACGAGGTTAAGAGAGGCATGTCTGAGTGTGCCCCACATCGGAACTCTGAGGTTTCCTGGGAGCCTCTGGCCTTCAGCTGCTTATCAAATAACAAAGCAGAGGAGTTCAAAGGATTATAGTCTGGATCTGAGGGAGTCCTACAGCCCTGTAAGCCCCCACAGGAGCCCGAAGGCTTTTGTGCACCTGGGCTTCCCGTTTGTCCCAGAACTAAAAAATGGGTGAAACTTCTTTCAAGAAAACATGTTATTCCTGCTGTCTGCATGGCATGGTAGGAGGGCAGGGCAGCAGGACTGCTGGCACAGGAGGGAGATGAAGGAAGAGGGAGTGGAGGCTTTGTTCAAGCAAGTCCTGAAACAAGAGTAAGTGACATTTGAAATTTGCTTCTTGAAAACCCTGATTTCTGTGAATCTCTCCTCCCACCAGGTGACTGGCTTTGACAGTGTTGATGATGAATCCAAGCACAGTGGCCATATGTTCTCTGACAAGAGCCTTAACCCTGACCTCTGGACCAGTGAGAAGAATCCCCCATATAGCTATTATTTGTATTATATGTATGTGAACATCATGTTGCTAAACAACCTTAGGAGGTAAGTAGTCATTTTTTTCCTTTGCAAGCTTCCAGAAAATCAGTATCTTGGTCTCTAACTACATGTCTAGATTACATATCCTCTGAAGCAAGGGTTATTTTGAATTATTTTAGAGAGTCCAAGAGGAGTACTTGAGTTATTTTGAAAATACTAACTACAAAATTAATTCAAATGAAATACTCAGAAATTGTAAAGTCATCAGATTAATATCTTGGTTTGATATCTGTGTGTATTTTTGTGGGTTTTTTTTAATTCCTTAAAGCTGAATATATCAAGCAAAACAAAAGAACAAACTCCACAAAGCTGACTTACTGATCTTTGCTTGGTTTCACAGTGGATTTCCAAATATAATGTACCTGCCTCTTGGTAGCTTCCTGGTAATTTAGGAGTAATTTAAGTTCTGTTGTGAAATACTGGTTTAAGGCCTGCTGCTATCAGACAAAGTAGGACACAATTATAAACTGCACCTCTAGCTAACTTATTTTAGCATGCTTGTTGAGTCACTCAGTTTTACTACCTCTGAGCCCAGTGTCTGGGCAAGTAATGCAGGGAGTTACACTACTGACTGTGAGGTCAGACCGTCAAAGCAGGTTTGGGCATCAGGCTCAGTAAAGCCTGAAATTCAGTGTGAGGTTATGTTGCTAAATTTGCAGCTGACTCACTGAGTGACCTGCACAACTGACTCCAGCTGAGGCACAGTGAGGTTGTCCATTGATATGATGGTACCATCACTTACCTTGCAAGGGTTTGCTTCATTATTATTTGTAAAACGTTTGAGGATTTTCTCACAAAAGGTGCATAGATTTGTCATTTTACCATTTTATCCAAATTAACATTCAAAATGTTAGTTTTTCTCTCCCACTGCTACTTCAAGCATTTCTTTCTCTATCGTCCTATTTGATCCAAACTCATAATAAGAACATCCACCTTAAATTACCTTGTATGTGCAACAAACAGGCCTGGTTGTTAGTTTTAATTCTGTAATGGAAAGGATACACTGAGACATGACTTAGTTATCTAAGTCATCCCTTTCTCCTGACTTCCTTTACATTCTCTGTAGTCTACATGCTTTTTCTATTCCAAAGATGGATTCTGTCAGAACTTACACATTTCTTTTTTACCTCAAGGTCATTTCAACTACTGTTTTAAAATCCCCCCAGATAATCATTAAATATTCTTTACTAGGTGAGGTAATGACACAATTCATCAATGAGTCAGTAAAACTGTTCACCCTGTTAAACATACTGAGCATTTGAGTCCAGACAGCCAGTCCATGACAAGACTGTTGTATACTTTTGGTGGTATTAGTGAGGATGGATTAATTACATCCTCACATCCATTTTCAGGAGAAATGTTACTAAACATCTGTCCTAGAATTGCCTTATACTCTAGCACTCTTTGTTGAAATTCTTTGTTTTGAACATCTCCAAATACTTATGGGACATTTGTCTACACTGAATAACAGGGTCCATTAAAACCTAAAACCCAACATCGCTGTTAGTATAGATGATAACATAATTCTAGAAATTACAGTCTAGTGTAATACCTAACACTCCTGGGTCATCTCTGCTTCTCAGGGTGTGGTTTTATGCTACACTTAACCTGGTGAGATGGCAGGTTCTCTTCACACTAGGTAGTAACTCTTGGCAATGTGCTTTCACTTCTTCCCTCATTTTGAATGAGGAATTTTGCGGCCACAAGTTGCATGGCTTCACTTAATTTTCCATCTGTCAGTTCCCTCAACTGAATTCTGTTCAGTAACTGTTCACCCAGTAGCCAGACAAGTGCTAAATGAGGTGTAACTGGGGCAGGAAAGAAGGAGGAAGACACAAATATGTCAGGGGGTGGAAGGGGCCCCTTTAGACAGCAGCCCACAGGTAGGCCTGATTAGATGTCACGTCCAGCTATGAGAATGTGTAACTTTTAACTTTCTTCTTTTAAGTTACCACATTAATGACAATTATATACCAAACAGATAAAGAACAGTGCATTTTTTGTGAGTGAAACTTGCTTTTAATCTCCTCAGGGAAAGAGGCATGTGCACTTTCCTGTTTCGCCCTCACTGTGGAGAAGCTGGGTCTATCACACACCTTGTGTCAGCCTTCCTGACTGCAGACAACATCTCCCACGGATTGCTCTTGAAGAAGGTATTGTTTGGTTGCTCACCTAAACTAATCACTGTGTGCTTAGCCATCAGTCACTGGTTCAAACAGCAGCCACCAAACTGACTTTATCTGGGCAGCCCACATTAGTTATTGGGCTGCCTCATTAATTAACTTTCTTAGCAAGGCACAAGTAACTCCTCAGTTTGGTCAAAAACTCCACCTGGAATAGTGCTGGGGGCTCTGGGGGCCCCAACACAAGAACACGTTGGATCTGCTGGAGAGAGTCCAGAGGAGGCCATGAAGATGTTCAGAGGATTGGAGCATCTCTCCTATGAGGAAAGGCTGAGAGTTGGGGTTGTTCAGCCTGCAGAAGTGAAGGCTCCGTGGAGACCATGTAGCACCTTCCAGTACCTAAAGGGGCTTTGAGAGAGCTGGAGAGGGGCTTTGCACAAGGGTAGGCAGTGATAGACAAGGAATAATTGAAAGAGGGCAGGGTTAGATTAGATATTGGGAAGAAATTCCTCACTGTGAGGGTGCTGAGGCACTGGAACAGGTTGCCCAGAGAAGCTGTGGATGCCCCATCCCTGGAAGTGTTCAAGTCCAGACTGGATGGGGCTTTGAGAAACCTGGTCTAGTGAAAGCTGTCCCTGCCCACAGCAGGGGGGGTTGGAAATAAATGATCTCTAAGGTTCCTTCTAAACCAAACTATTTCATGATTCAATGAAATAAATAAGTTCAACTGAACTTCCTATTTCTTAAGCTACAAAGAGAGAGCTTTTCCTAAGCATGTATTTTAAAACTATGTCTTTACAGGGAAGATCAACTGTTCAGATATGTGAAAGACTTGGCAGCACCTGTTTTTGGTTACTCCAAGCAGAGCTAAAATTACACAGAAAAAATTCAAGACTTGTTACTACACTCTGGTTTAGGTCCCAGAAGAGCTTAAGGAAAGCTCTGTTTTTTTCTGTACAGGGACAAAGGTCATATTCCCTGACTGGCATTTCTGTACTTCAGAGTTCATTCGGGATTTGATTATTTTGATAAAGAAATTTAACATAGCTGAACAACACAGCAGTATTTTAGACAGAACTTGACTGTTATGACAGAACAAACGTTATAATTCCTGGCACAGTGGTTAATAAAAACCATCACTCAACTCATCTGCAGGGCACTGTTTCATAATTAAAATAATTGGTCAGTGGGTGGCAGACTTGCACTGAATTTACTGTAATTTTTTAGAAAGAGTTCCCTTACAAGTTGGATTTCTTTTTTTTTGGTTAATGCTGGAAAAATCTTTGTATTTTTCAACATATCCAAGAACAAAGAAAAAGTTGGCCTAAAATCATGTCTGATAGTATGCTCACAATTAGTAATTCCTAAAATGAAGTAGTACTAAGGCTGTGTGTGACCAAAGCATTCTCCTCTTCACTCTCTCCTGTTTGACCTGGTGCAATAAGCTGGCATAGCAGATACTGCAAATAATAACACTCATAAAGGCACTTTTTAGGTTCCTAGGTTGGTTAAGGCAAAATAATAATAAAGATGAGGCAATCACAGATCATTTATATTACGTACAACAGCAACACATGCCTTCTAATTAATTAAAACTTCTTTTGCTCCTAAAATTGACCTATTGGACTGCAGCTTTGAAAATAACAAATTGCTTAGCAGTTCCTGTACATCTGTTGTGCATGAATTTCAGGTTTTGGGGGAAGGCATACAGTTAGTATCAAATACAGTGCCAATATAATATAATAGTTATATACACTTACTAATCGACAGTAGTATTACATCACCTTGTTTTTAAAAAGGTGACATATATTGAAGAATGTAAATTATTTTTAAAAAGATCAGTAACATTTAAAATTCAGACTCTTAAGTATTTTCTAGAGAAGTCAGGGTTTAATGCCAACTTTTTTTATCTTAGTCCTCCCTCTGTAGTGCTGTTTCCATTTTATCCAAAGGAAATCCTTCTTTTTTGAATTATCCCATAGCACCATTAAATGCCAACTGTGTTGTTTTGCAGAGTCCTGTCCTCCAGTACCTTTATTATCTTGCACAAATACCCATTGCCATGTCTCCACTTAGTAACAACAGCCTATTCCTGGAGTACTCCAAAAATCCACTAAGGGAATTTCTCCATAAGGGACTACATGTCTCTCTCTCCACAGATGATCCGATGCAGTTTCATTACACAAAGGTAAGAATTGTAAAAAGCATTGGCTTTGAATTTGGCAACAGTACCATGCAGGTCCAGAATGACCTGGAAGCTCTTTTGTGTCTGTGCTTAGGATACAGTGTCATGTGTTTCAGTCACTTCATTCATTCCTCTTCCTCATTTTCAGGCAGTGTTAGGCTTCAGAGGGAGATGTCTGATTTCCTAATTATGTATCTTTTGTACTCTTGCCTCTCCAGTGTTGGCTGTTGAAGTATAGAATGAAGGATGAGGTTGAAGGGAGGTTTGAGCCTTCACAAACAAGCCTCTAGAGTGCCAGGAAAGTCCAGTTTCCTTACTAATAAATCTGGGGAAGTACATGACAGAAACATGATGTAGAATCTCAAGATGACATATGAGCTGTTTGCTCACTGAACTGGAACAGATTCTTGCCCTTGGGTGGCCTGGCAGGACCTGGTCACTGGTTCTGATGGCCTCATTTTGTGCTTGGCACTGACTGGAGTCGTGCTGTGCCACAGCCACTGTGTCCTGAGGACAGGCTGAGCTCTGGTGTGCTGTACCCGGGCTGGCTCCTGGCCTGGGACCTGTCTCTGCTGGAAAAGACTCGGTGTGGATGTCCCACAGCACCAGCCCAGTCACACCAGTGTGGAAGGGCCTCAGCTGGGACAGCCCCCGAGAGCCACACCTGGTGTGGAAGGGCCAGAGCGAGACACTGCCCTGCTACCTGTCCATGTGCATATTCAGTGAAGATTTAGGTCCTCCAAAGTGTTTATATACCCTGGGATCTCCTCTGGAATTCCCTAATAAATGCCTCTAAGGATCTGGACTGCAGGCTGTAATTTCTTAGACTAGGACAACTGGATCCCCTGTGCCTATTAATTCTTTACCACAAGTCCTTGGGAAACTTGAAATAAACAGTTATGTTTGTAGTAATTGTAATTTTAAAGTTTTAAACTTCTGATTTTTCACAGCTGTCTAAAGAGCATGTATAAATTCCTTAATTAGTAATGAGTACATATCTCCATTTATATCTTATTTACATATAATTTAAATGTATTTTGGTGCTACAGGAAGCTCTCATGGAAGAATATGCCATTGCAGCCCAGGTGTGGAAACTGAGTACCTGTGACTTGTGTGAGATAGCCAGAAACAGCGTCCTACAGAGTGGATTGTCAGATAAGGTAATTATGGCTGGAAAATCCCTTTTGGGAACGTTAGGACAAGTTGGAACTGAGCAGTCAGCAGTCTGAACACTGAATAGCAGGTGCTTCTGTGGTGTATTTATGCACATCCCTGTCCTCTTTTCCAGAAATATTCACAGACTATCTGCTGTGCAGTCTTCCTTATATGTGAAGTATTAATGTTACTTTTCCCCTTTAGCTTTGTTTTGGAATTCCTAAAACATGTAGAGAGACCAGATGCCTGTTTAAACTCAGTTCTGTCTCCAGTTCCAAACTTTTAATTATTTGGGTGATATGTCATTGCCAGTAATTTTATACATCATGTCTTGCATTAAGTAAAAACAAACTGCCTGTCATAAGCAAGACATATTTTTGCTTAGAAGAGAGAACTACAGAAAATATTCCGGTTTAGATAGGCAGTCAGATTAGATTAAATCCCCTTTTGGCTTTAAAATTCTATACAGCCAAGGCTTTCTCTAGGAGTTATTTTAGAACATCCTCCCGTCTGTCACTTTTGAACATCTCTCTCGAGGAGCTGTTATGTGAAGGGGTTTCAGAAGTATATTCTGTTGTTTCTTCCAATACTCCCTTAGTGACAACTACTCGTTTTCCTCTTGTGCAACATCTAACTAACAAAGGGAACCTAAGCCTCTTTTTGACCTCTTACATGAAAGATGTAGCAGTGAAGGCCAAACACTAGCACTGAGGGTTTCAGCAAGCCAGACTGAGTGCATTTCTGAGTGATTATAAGTATAAACTTTGGCCTCAAAAATCTCCAAAACTGGTTAAGACTCTGAAGTAGAGTTCAATGGCCAGCTGGTTGAAGCTGCTCTTTTCACTTGTACTGGACTCACTCAACTAACAAACACTCATTTCTGCAGTAAATCAAAGCAGTTGAACTGACTTCTTCCTTTTCGCATTTAATCCCGTTCACAGGAAAAACAGAAGTTCTTAGGGGTGAATTATTGTAAAGAAGGGCCTGAGGGAAATGACATTCGAAAGACAAATGTTGCACAGATCCGGATGGCCTTCAGGTACGAGACACTGTGCAATGAACTCAGTTTCCTGTCAGATGCCATGAGAACAGAAGAGATTTCTACTCTGTCAAAGTAGCTATGAACTCAGAGAAACCAGAACATTTCACCCCTACGCAGGATAAGATGCTAATTAACATCAAATCATCTGTCTGTGATGCTGCCAGGACAGAACTGAGCAGTACAGAGAAAAAAGAGAGTATCTGTGGAAGGTAAACAGTGTTTGCTGCCGTCTTCTCCTGCATTATTCTCATTGCAAAGGTTTCAGTTTCCAGGAACATTAGGCTTTTTAAAATTGCTGTAAATATTAAATGCAAACTTAGAATCACGTAATATTTGTTTCATACTGTCTTAACTGTGCCCTGCATTGTAGCTTGGGAAACAAGAGAGAACATCCATAGTGCATCTGTGACATGCACCTGAGGATGCCACAGATGCTGACAGTACACATGCACCTGGCTTTGTCCTGCAAGCCTCGGTACCAATCATGGCATTTAGCACTCCTAAGTTTAACCCTTTATTCATTAACACTTTGTATGGGGTGCATAATTTTAAGGCTACCCTTTCATTCTGGAGGGTGTTCTGACACAGTTTTTAACTTAATGTTTCAGCAGTTATATTGGAAAACAAGGAAAACCAAAATCAGGTAATCTTGTTCGGTGACTAATTAATTACTTCCTGTTATGTAGGATGTCAGTGAAGAACAACAGATGAATGCTTTTTAATCTAGCAAGTACAAAACATGGTGTCAAAATCACTATTGTACACTGTAATGAGCCTAATTATATCATGACAAATTTTGCCTTGAAAGTTGACAACACTTTTTTTATTGCTTTGTAATGGGAATATGTGGATATGCCAGTTCAAATTACTTAGAAGTTTATGCAGATAATTTTGGTTGCATGTAAAGGGAAATTTTTTACTTGAAAAAAGGAAGTGTTCTTATGAATCAGTGGTAGAAACACCAGACCTGGGTTCTGGTCCTACTTCTGACATATTTTTACACCTTTGTTTTAGTCTGTATTTCAGTCGATCAGAGCTGAATGGGAAGTCAAGCTGTCTATTTATACAGAAGTTATTCCACTTGAAATCTGTCGTTTCAAATCATGTCGTGTTAAACTATTTATTTGTGATGGAGCAGTTAGTAAAATACAGCTACTGGAATATTTATCACTTTTAATCTCGTTTCTATTTGATCATCCTTAAGACACAGTACTACTCATTCAGAAAGGATTAAAGGTAATACCATGATGGCATCTGTGTATTGTAGAAGCTGCAGTAGTTCCACACCACAACAGATTCGAGGCCAGGGGCAGCAGTGGGTCCTGTGAGTCCAACCTTGCACTGCTCAATTCAAAGGCCTGCAGTCCCTAAGGTAGGACTTTGGGACATTTTTTTAATGGACCTGCTGTCCTGATTGCAGGGAAATGGCACTAAAGGGAAGGAGGAATGAATTCCTTATCACCTCCTATAGCTGTGCAGCCCTGCAAGAGCCCCATGAGAGAGAGAGAAACCTAAAGACTGTTAGGAAGCAGCCTGGAAATAAGGCTGCTCTGAGGGAGATCGAGACACAGGAGGAGAGTTCTGGTTCCTCCAGTCACTGTCACAGGCAGCCAGTGTCATGCACAGTGATTGCACATGTTCTTCATCCAAAAACAGGGCTGCACACAAGTGGTGGGAGACTGGACTTAGGCTCTTCAGTGCCCCAGCATAAAGTCTGCAGTGTACAACTAGTGCCAGGTTTTCTATTCCTTGTACACCTAAAAATCACATGCAACCATGTAATGCTGCTCAGCTGTATGAGAATAAAATGGTCCAAAGTTCTTAGTCAGCAGTGCCTGTTGGCCTCACCGTTAGAAACTTTAGCAGCTCATATAAAGCAATCTCAGGATTGGTGAGTGTAATTGTTCTTAGGATGAAGTCTGAAAACGTGGTTCAAGTATTTTAGCTGCATAAAATGCAGATATCTTGTTTTCATCAGTACAACTGCCTAATAAATTTTTATCAACATAACATAATTTACTTGGGAAAAGCATCTGCATCCAGGCTAAATAAGCAACACGACTGGTTGAAGAATTTCAGTTTTAAGTATTTCCATCTGATAAACATTGCTTTACTCGGGTTGTTTTACCTGAAGATCACTATCAGTGTTGCTTTTGTTGTCACATTTCTTACTATTATACCACATTTATGTATGTTTAATACCTTTTCAGCTTTCCTTACCTCAAACACATCAGGTTTTAATACGTCTGTAGCTCTTATTAAAAAAAATAAAAAAAAGGAAAACTGGATTTGAATATTCAGTTGATGGACAGAAACTGGGATTTTGACAATAACCACAATAACACAGAAGTGGTCACGACCACAAGTTCTGCTTTCTGTGCTTCCTTGTGTGCTGCTTTTAAGGATAAACTGGGCTAATAGTATTATATTTGGGGAAACAAAGCAACATCCTTTCAAGCTTCCACTACTACATCTCTTCTGGTCATCTGTTAATTAGGCAAAAGTTATTCATTCCCAAGTTCAGTTCTTCATCTTTGCCGCCTTTTCTTTTTATAAAGTTGCACTTTTGTGCTAATGGGAGGCTGCTCCCAATAACCTCGTGGTCTCAGCTGTGGCTGGAATGAAAGGGAGATCCAGTGTGAGTCACTGCTGTCCACACTGGCTCAAAGGCAGGACAGGGCAGTGGCTCATTCCTCCCAACAGTGCTGAGGGTCAAACCTGGTTACAACACAGCCTGTTTGACTCACACTGAAAGGGACTGAAAGAACATCACTGTGGGTGGGGAATGGGGTAAATGTGGCTTCAGACTGGAAGAATATCGTGTTTTCTCTTATTTGCACTGGAGGTAAGGTTCCAACATTATTCAAGACTTCCTTAAATCTGTTGGCTCAGAGCATTTTATACCTTCACCTGAAATGGTTAATTATGGTTATTTGATGTTTACAGCCTATCTACCTGAACAATTTCCAGTGATTCTTTTCTGTTCTGTTACTGTAGCAAACTTCAGGCATTTGCTCTGCTATGGGATAATAATTTTTTTTCTCACCCCATAGTCACCTTATCTTCTCATATCATTGTTCTTATGTGGCTAAACCTTTCTGTTCTCTTTGCCTAGTTAAAATGCAAGTCTGAAAAGGTGTCTGTAAAAACTGCTTCTTCTTTCTGTGCCTGGGTTAAATGATGTTTATCTTTTGCCTCTTGTGGAAGCATTAAACTAATGAATTGTCAAGGAATATGGTTACATTTTTTTGTGTGCGTACCTCTCAAAAAAACTATAGCTCCTCAAAATCTCCACATTTAAGTAGAGCTGAAAACCTGTGCAATTCAACTGTTAGCAGTACAGGAGACTAAACCAAACTAAAGGACTACCACAGCATGAAAACTGGAAAACACCCCAGTGGAGAGAAAGAAGATCACAAGCAATATTTTAGGAGAAGGTGCTAAAAGCTTAGCTGAATTAAAGCTGTTAATGAAAACCAACTGTTCGGACCTGGCATTAAGTTCTGAAGCTGAAATTGTGTTGTTGTCCCCCCTCTCTGTGTTGTTGTGCCCACCCCAGTTCCCTGATCATCCAAACTGGGCACCAGGGAAGGGCATGGAGCAGCTCTTTGTGATCCTGCAGCCTCATCTGGGCATTGAACTGCAAGTCAAAACACCGAGTTTGGGAGCAGCAAAGCCGTGCTGACACCCACAGCTGAAACAGCAGTGCTGTGGTTCTGTGAGCACCTCAACAGCTTTATCTGACAGAACACAACTAGGAAGCCAACAAGTCACAGATTTAAATAGATGGTATCAACACAGATATCCTGCCACAGTCAGGGTGACTACTGAGAAATTTAACACAAGCTACTTCAGTAAGAAATGTTATAAGGATCCTTAGATGAAGATTAAAATCCAGTACACAAACCCCTTATTTCTGTACGTGAGCAGCACCAGTGAAGCACAAGAGTACAGGTTCTCCTATAACTGGAGAATGTACATTCCCATACCTATCAAAGCAGTAAATATTGAGTGTTAAACAGCACAGAGAACACTTTATAACAGCGAGACACCAACACCACTAATCCATTAATAATTCACCATGACTGTCTTTTTTTGAAGGTCTATTAAAGTGGGTCAGAACCACACCAGCATGGAAGCACAGACTGTTGTATCAACCCCCTACCTTCTTCCACACACAGATTTCAGAAAGGCAGGTTTCCAGCTACTTTAGGCTTTCTTCCTAAAAGCACCTTGCATTTTTAACTAGCACTTTGAACCAAAGAAGAGTGCTCCATTAATTACCTACTGGATTGTATTCTTCATTCCAGCAGACACACACTGTGCAAAGTTCTACCCAAGTTCCCAAAACTGCTGATTTTTTTTTTCAATATTAGACTTACAAACCCCATGCCCAGTGTTAAATATTTGAATCTTCATAGGTTAGTGGGGTAAGCAATATGTAAGCAAACATCTGATAATTAATCATGACAGCTCAGATACAAAAGCAGAACGTGCTGTCACATCCCTCACAGACACAACATTCACTGGGACATGGCTGGTTCCCAGAAAAACATTATCTGGTGATTGCACACTGTGGTTACTGGAAAAGCACAGGGTCCTATTCAGGATAATTTCAGTGACACACTGCAACAGGAAAAGAATGTTCAGTCTTTAAAGAATATTACCATATGGTAAATTGTAGGCCTGAGAACCAAACGTGAAGAAATGACAGTTAACAAAAATCCAGTTTTGAAATTACTGATTTTTGAGACAGCTAATAAGAAAGCAGAATTCCCTTCACCCACTTAAAACGGGTGAGGATAAAACCTTTAACAAGTTACCTTCAAGAATGATTTAACAACAGAAAAAATAATTAATTACTGTAATATTAGTCACAATGAAATTACTTCCATTGAAGAGTGTGAGTAGTTAGTGGATACAAAATTAAAGAGTTCTGTATATGCAGTGTCAAGGATTAAGGGCAGCCAAGTTAACATACTTACATCATATCCTACTTATATCAAACATCTTTAAGGGTCCCCAAGCAGGCTACCCTTCTAGGATTCAGCTGGACACAAAGAACCACAGCTGAATGTTCCTTCTAAAATTAATGCATTTGGCACATAGAGCTGTACAGGGGTGGAATTTAACAGTTCAGTTCAAACCTATAGCACAGAGATCTCACTGGTTGGCCTGGTTTCCAGTACTGGAATGAGTAGGGATTAGAAAACTTTTATAATTATATATAAAATTCTCTTGAAGGGAAAGATATGGAAGTTAAATGTGCCATTTCCCACTAAAAAAAGAAACATGCACATTACATTGATAAGGTGCCTAAACCTGAAAGCTGGTAAATAGAAACATTTCCTGATTGCCCAAGTACACCTACCTCTTGGTGTGCCTGTCAGCTGGTCACTTTTTCCATTTTAATTTCCTGATCTGTTAATGAATTCCTCTCTCATTTCTCACTTGGCTTCGAAAGATCCAAACAGGTAAGCTAAGTAACTAGACAGAGGAAACAGTTACATTAATTACATAATTCAATTCTTATTTAAATAAATAACAGGGAAAAATTAAAAAGAAAAAAATATTCCAAACCTTAGCATTCTTAAGCTTTAAAATACCATCTGAAATATGATGAAATAAGTTGGGGAAAAAGTATATCACACTTCTCTGAAAATAAAAGTAAAAATCCTTTCCCTAAAGAAACCTGCTCCTCAATATTGTCCTTTTAAGAATTAAGAGTTATTTTTCCCATCACTGCAGAATATCCCAATTTATTTGTGTACTCAAGAATCAGAGCAACTCTTTATTGCAGAGCTGCATTAAGCCACCTTGTTAATACCACCCTTCAAAATTTCAGAGAGCTCTGACTCACAATGGCATACTTTTAACCACACCACCTGTACAAGGCAATTGTATTTGGATTAAAACTCAGTTTTCAGACTTCTGTGGTATGAAAATCCAAGAGATTCCTTAAGCTTAAAAGAACTCTGACATTTCTTCCAAAGTAACTTTATTGCACAATTCATACACAAAGTTTAATATAGTGGAATGTCCTTAGCCAGTAATATGATCTCTAATGTTTAAATTGCAATTTCACATTAAACCTGTAAGAAATGTTCACTTAACACAAGAAAGTTAATTTGTTCTAATGCCCCCCACCAACAGTTATTTGTAGTAATTCACATTTTCAAGGTCTAGCTTCTGGAACTCATTGCCATGTCCATGCCAATGAGATTCCTTTTCCAAACTTCTTTGCTAAATGTTGCACTTCAGAGTAAGTAATACCAACCAATACCAAATTACTAGTTTTTCAGTGTTAATATACCTATTTTTCCATATAACATACAGTACATATATTTTACAAGGCACACATTACAGTACCTACATCACAGCAGTGTGAATTACAGCAACTTAATTAAAAAAAGCTGTACAGAATACAAAGTTTACTTTTTCACTATTTAAATAACTTTTGCATTAGTTTATATTGTAATTGCAAGTGTCATTATGCTGCAATTAACAACCTGTTTGCATCATTATAAAATTACATTTTAAGAAGTTCATGTCAGTTCTCAGCAGAAAGTCAACTTATAAAATCTCAGTTCAGAAGAATAATTCTTGAAATACTTGAAAAATAAAGTTAGCTTGAAGCTTTCATTTAGATGGTCTTTCTGTTCCAGTGATATAAAAAGTTTAAAAAATTCAAAGGTTGTTTTAAAGTTCTGGACATGGACTAATGCAAGCTCAAAGAGCAAAAAGAAACCAAACTGGTGTGTGATTAGGAACATTTGCAAATGTTTTAGTGGAAAATCCTGGGCCATTAACAATTTTCAGCCCAAACAATGACTGCCTTTAACAACCAAACTATTTTTAACAACCAAACACTCCATACATTTTCTGAAGAATATCTCATTGCTATCAATGGCTTAACAAAGGAAAAAAATGGGTTCTAATCTATACACACTCCTAAATGGATTTTTCCATAGCTAAATACAGATTTACACACTAAGCCATACTGGCTTTCAGATAACAGACACAGGAAGAGTACATTGCTTATCTGTCTTAAAGTCTATAAATTTGACAACTGTGCCATAAGCCAAGCTCAAACAGGTGCCATATGCTATGCACATTCTTTAAAAAACTGGAGTATAATAGAGAGATTCTGAAGATCTAGTTCACAATGTAATTAAATTACTTTGTAGCCAATTAAGAAAAATAACCTAAATGTGCATATCTATGTGTGCACATGCCTTTGAGGTTCAGAACCTGTCTGGGACAAAAGGCCTTACCTTATGGCATCACTGAATTTTAACAAGTATGGTAAATAAAAATGCAGTCTTACAGTAAGCAAGATTTATGCTGATATTCCATAAAACGCTACATTTGTATATTTTAACTTGAGGTTATTGAGTGAGAAAAAGTAGTATTTGTTAATATATATTAAAAAACTTTATTAATTAATTCTCTACAGTAGCAGTTCACCTCCCTAACACTACTTATGCAAAAGAGGCTTAAGATGGGTTTCCCAAGTACTAACAATTGTAGACTGCCTCAACTGAGCACTTTAAAGATTTTATTCTGCTAGACACAAAATGCCATTGCACTCCAGTTGTGACATCCCTCTTCCCAAGCTGTCACATGCACATCTCGCTGCAAGCAACATTATTGTTGGAGTTCCCCTCTGCTACATAAAAGCATATTGCACTTGTAGATATAAAGCACAGCACCCTCAGATTATCTATCACCTTTGTAACTCTTCACATACCTTATAACTTTGATTTCAAAAACTCAAGAGGAGCAGGTAAAACCACAGCATCAGACTAAACTACACCTCATTTGCTAATTCAAATAAAGGCATTCTCTTCAGACATGCCCAATGTTTAGAAATAATTTTGGTTGGTTTTTATCAAAAACTATAGAGAAACTGATTTACTGTTTTTAGGATTGTGTATGAAGCTGTTTAATGTTTCCAAGCTAATAAGACTATGCTAAACATCATATAAAAATATTCTAAGAGATAAGTCTTGTTAGAAGAATAAGGGGAAGTGCACAAGTACATGTACAGGGCTGTCTACACTCTCCAAAACAGATTTAAAACAATTAATGCTAAAAGTCATAACAGATCAGGTTGATGTAAGTGCCTGTAAACCCTAAAAGCAGCAATAACTGACTACTGAAGAACAGGCAGTGGGACATCTTCAAGTTTCAGCAATTTCAAATTACCAGTCACTCGTGCTAACTCATCGCC